ACGCTCGAGGAACACACCCGTGAGGAGCAGGCTGGGTTTCGTGTCGGTCGTGGCTGCATCGAACAAATCTTCACCCTCCGACAGTTGCTTGAGTACCGTCAGGCCTACCGTAGACCAACGATCATTGTGTTCTTTGACATTCACGCGGCCTTCGATTCTGTTGATATGGAGGTGTTTGTTGAGGAATGGAGTACCAGAGAAGTGTGTCGATCCTCAAAAAGTTGTATCGTCATACCTTAGAAACTCTGTTCCCTGGGAGGAGTTCGACTACTGCTAGACCGGACAAAGCGTCTTGCGGAACATCTTCTGTGGCGAGGTTGAAAAGGAATGGAGATATAGGGCAACCTTGTCGAACTCCAATGGAGACGGCGAAGGGTGGTCAAAACTGGCCATAAGCCCTAACCCGATCTGAGGTATGACAATGCAACTCTTTGAGGATCGACACACTTCTCTGGTACTTCATTTATCAACAACCTGCCCCATAGTGCGGTCCTATCAACAGAATCGAAGGCCGTGCGAATGTCCAAGAACACAATGATCGTTGGTCTACGGTAAGCATTGTTTTACGTTGAAGTGACTGAGGAGATTGGGCGTGGTATTGAACCGGACGACAGTAAAGTTGCCTACCACCAAAGTTGGGTAGTGATGGCGGGGCTCAAACCTCGAACCATAGAGTCCAAAGCACGCCGGTGACAACGACCAAACCAGTGCACCACCACCCTGAAGAGAAGTATTGCAAAAAAAACATCTGTGTTTGAGGCTTCCAGACTTCTCATTGAACACTAATGAAATCACCCAGCCCCCCCCCTAAAAAAACATATCGAAAGCTTTAACACCACAAAATCTGAAGAGTGCTTGCAAGGTTCCCAGAATCGATTGTTCCAGGCTGCGTGCTTACTCTTGGTGACAGTATTGCACACAGCGTGAGTGCCGTCACGCCCAAGTGGAAGTTTTGCCACGAGGAATGATTATAACAACTTATTGTTTGGATGTCACGAAGGGGCATTGTTCTGAACGAGTTATTTGTCCGGACAAGGAGACATGATAAAAGATATACACGCTGTATGAGTATCCAAATGTTAGATTTGTCAACGAATCATCAAGTCTCTGTTTGAAATTATATCCTATTTCACACTCGTCAGAGTCCAGATCATGGGACAACACAAATCGCGGCACAATGACAAAGAAATCAATCCAGGATTTGCTCAAACCAAAGCAGATGAATTTTCTTAGACGACTCACAACCAGAGCCTTCGTTTAGCCCAAGCCTGCCCGGCCGATGAAGAAAACCACATTACAGTGGTGGTGGTGCGGGGGGGGGGATCATTTCATCGAATGATACGTCCTTTAGACAAATTCAAATGTCCAGACTGCCCAGCTGCGACCGTTTGATTCCGTCAATTGGGTGCATGATACGATGAACGAACCCCGGCCGCAGTGTCAATTGTACTCTAAATTCATCGGAACACAAGTCCGAAGGTGAACAGTTGTTTTCGAATGATTCCTAATCGTGTCTGCACAGATAATATAAAGTCTTGTTGATAGTGGCGAGATATTTTCATGCTGGGGGAACGAAAGGTCATACCGGATGAGGAGGGTTATGCCCTATTTGTTTCTGTGAGATCGATTGTGATCGGAGTTCATGCTTCATTTGCCATATACACACGACGAATTCACCTTTGAAATGGAATAAAATCCTCCATGACTCACTTGTCATTGGAGTGTTGGTAATCAAGTTCGGCCCAGGATAAGTGGAGAGTAAGTATATAGATCAGTCGATTTATGCGCATAGTTCTGATGAGAATGCCTATCGCCCCAGCGGTGGTCAGTGTGTGTAGCGTATTGTCTTAAAGGGGTTGAGGGGAGGGGGAACATGAAAGATTACGCTGAACGCGGATTCTAGACTGATTTGGTGGTCTGCAAACACTATTAGATTTTTCATCCGTTTTTGACTCTGTTCCACGTTCCATCTTCCTTCGTAAACTGGAATCAGTTGGCTGTCGTAAGCATCTACTGGCGTGGTTCGTCGACTTCACAAACAGAACTCAGCAGACTCAGTTTGGTAGGGAAACGTCTAAACCACTCGTGAACAATTCGGGAGTACTACACGGCGCCGTATTGTCTCCGTTCTTGTTTTCCACCTACATCAGTGATCTGTGTGCGAGTTCTCCAGTCCAATGATTTAAAAATGTTGATGACGAAGCCCTCTGCCAAGCCATTTCTGTGCCTGAGGACCTTTTACATTTTTCGAATAACCTATCGCATATTCATGGATTTTCCGTTCGTTCTGGACTGTCTCTGAATTTATTCAAGTGATTCGAATGCACTTTCTCCCTTTCTCGATCTGTTTATCCTTGTGATCCGTCTGTCATAAATACGGATCCCCTAACAAGAGTAGATTCTGTGAAGTATCTAGGTGTATCAATTGACACTAACTTAAAGTGAACATCCCATATTTACAACGCTGTACAGAAACTCCGCAGATTATCTTTTCAACTTCGAAGACTTAGACAGTTTAATGCCAAGCAAAAAATCATTTCACTTTTTGCTTATCAATATGTTTTCCCCGTTCTTCTTTATTGTTCCCCGCTGGTCTACTAAAGAAAGACTTCAAAATTCTTCGTCGAGGTTTGTTGGTCATCAGTTGTGTCTTTTATTCCCGTTGATGAGCTATCTAAAAATTGTGAACTTCACTTGTCCGCATGTAAAACTTTTGACCAGAAAATCCTCGCTGACCCCAACCATCTTTTACATGGCGATTTAGCTAAATGCTGCTCTCATACGTCTACACGTTCTTCTTATCGATTGTTACCCTCTCGCAGAATTTCTCAGTAACCTTGAAGGCTAAATATTTTACTTGTACCTTTCCTTCTATCGATGAAATGAGTAATTTTTGACTGAAATGCGAACATTCTGTTCTCACAAAAGTCTATACAAATACTATACCTTTTTCAATCGTTATCCCAATATCATTTCAAGTTGTCTGCGCATCATTTCAAGCTGTCTCATTGACCTCATCGGTGCTGAAGCCTCCGAGCGATGTCTGGATTACCACCATGTAGTACAGATTTCTCTGCCTCCCGCTGAAGTGCGTGGGGGGGGGGGGACGATTGTGAGACGTGCCTCGGTCACAGATGCCTCAAATCCCACGACATGGTTATTGGTTGTTCATCTTGCAAGTACACGTACACGTCTGTGTTTGTCCCCCCCCCCTTCCGGGTAACACCATTAAATCAGACGCGATCAACGCTTGAGACATTGCTTACATGCGTAACATGATGCTGCAATAGAATCCATAATCTATAC